TTCAGAGATCAATCGATGCTGACATAACAATGTTACTGTCCATTCTTTTTATTATATTTTTTGTATCTGTGGATTATTAGAATGATTGGACATGCCTATGTCTTATAAAAGGAGTAATTTTTTTTATCTTTTATTTATTCATTAATTAATTTATTTTTTTTCTTTCATAAAATTTCATCATCGAAAATATTCCCACGATTGATGTAATGCAATATTTCTCATAAAGTTTCGGTATCAAAACTATCCTCACGATTTACATAAATAATGTATATTTTTAATAATTTGCATAATTAATTTACATAATTAATAATTAAATACGATTGAATTGAATTTATTCTTGACTATAATCAGTTATTTCTGCAGTTTTGAACTTTGTAGAAATGGCATAAACGTTTCTTTTATTTGCTCATTTCAGTCATATTTTCCCGTTTTTAATTTTGTACCCACAAAATCACGGCATATTGGTTTTATTAGAACGCATAATTCCAATGTTATGTGTTTTATTTTTAATTATTGTTAAAAATAGTTTAGGCAACACATATTAATTTCCAACATATAAAATAATTTATTGAAAATTGATTGTGACAATACAAATGAATAAAATAAAATAAAAAGAATGGACAATACACATCCATGTGTATACATTTTTGAATTTTTGAATAAATGAATTTATAATAACTTTTATTTTATGTAATCAGTCTGTATCGTTAACTGTATTATTTGTTAAATGCAGAAATATAGTAATTTGTAAAAATCTTATGAATGGTATAATATTTCTGAATATTGGCGATTATGTAATGATTCTGTCAGAGCGGTCATTTGAATTTTTATTTTTACTTTTGTTTTATCTTAATTATTATTATACATAATATAATTTTATTTCATCACAATTTATAGGAACTTAACACTTTGCGTGCCACTGTCTCGCTGACGTGACTTTTTCTCGCCAACGGTTATCGGCTGCTGTCACGTACGCGTGACTTATTTTCGTCAACGATGATGCTTCATATCGATGTTTGTATGGGTTGACATAATATTGCAAAGCAACATTTGACGTTCAAGGAACATTGGTTACAACTGTATTCCCCTCCCAATTCACCAGACTATCTTTTATTGAAATCTTTTTTGAGGACGTTTATTTTGTTAGTTTGAGACTGTCTTTCGCTGCCTTCAAATTTCGCTGCCGTTAATTTTAGTACAAGTTTTAAAATACCCTTCAAAATGCTCTACGATGAGGAAATACATGCGATCTGTTATCAGAAGAGGATAATTGCTCTGATAGTGAAAGTGATTCGGACAGTGGGAGCGATATAATTGTGAGACGATTCGAAAATAAGGGAAGACCAATAATTAGTGAATCTGAAAGTGATGAATAGAATTCTGTGGCAAATGATTGGTCAGAAGTTGATTTTAAACCTGACTTTCATGCTTGCCTGGAACAGTCTGGGTTACAGGTACCATGCACACCGGATATATTATCAACTGTGGAATTGTTCATTGGGAATGATTTATTTAATTTGTTTGTCACACAAACAAACTTATATCATAATCAGCAGAATAATGATAAGAACAATGCATCAACAAAGAATAAAACTTGGGTTGATACAAATATTGTAGAAATGAAAAAATTTTTGGGCCTTGTTATCCTAATGGGGATAGTAAAAAAGCCAGAACAAGACGATTATTGGTCTACTCACCCTGGATTACATTCACCTATTTTTGGGAATACAATGCCAAGAAACCGATTTCAGCAGTTATGGTAGTATTGGCACTTCAGCAATAATGAGCATTGCCAAGAAAGGCTTGATAAGATAAAACCAGTCTACACAAACTTGGTAGAAAAGTTTCAAAAAATTTATAAACCCAAGAAAGAATTATCACTGGATGAAGGTATCATTCCATGGAGGGGCAGGCTATCTTTTCGTACATATAAACCTGCGATAATTATAAAATATTGAATTTTAGTCCGTATGGTGTATAAGGCGACATCTGGTTATATATGCAATTTAGAAATATATTGCGCGCAAGGAAAATCGATAAGTGCGACAATATTATCCGTACTATCGCCATATTTAATTTTATGGCACGATGTATATATGGACAACTATTACTAGAGTATAGAAGTTGCAGAGGAGTTACTAAAGCATAAAACAAACATCTGTGGCACAATTAAAGCAAACAGAGGAGTACCAAATTGTTTAAGATCAGCTACATTGAAAGATAAGTCAATGGAATTTCGTAGAAAAGGGAAGATTTTGGTACAAAAATGGAATTCGGCCAAAAAATTGATAACGATGATTTCTACGATACATTCAGCATACATGGTCGAATATGTGAGTAAAAGAAAAAAAAAGAGCATGAAACCAATTTGCATATGGGGGTATAATAAATTTATGAAAGGCGTTGGTCACGCCGATCAATACCTATCGTATTATTCCATACTTCGCAAAACAAAAAAATGGACCAAAAAAACGGTTTCATACCTCATAAACTGTGCATTACTCAACGCGTACCTGATATGCATAAAAAATTCCGAAAATCCTATTAGATTCAAACAATTTTTACTAAATCTTGCACTAACATGGATTAATGAGAATAAAGAGGAGCAACAATCAAGATTGGCTGCTCAAAGTAATAAAAGATCGCCAAGGTATGATAGACCAAACAGGTTTACCGCGGACATGAGGAAACATAGTATAACACGTATTAGTGGTAATGGGAGAATTCAAAACCCGCGAAGGGCTTGTAAAGTCTGCACTGCCGCCAGGAAAAGAAGTTCCACTGCATATGTGTTCTTCCTGCAACGTTCCTCTGCATGTTGGAAAATGTTTTGAAAATTATCATACTAAAATGAACTATGAATCTTAGGGGTTAAATTTTTTAAATAAAATGTTTTAGTACTAATTAAAAAATATAAAACTATGGAATAATAATAGTGTAACAGTTATTTTAGTGCCTTCTTTAATAATAATTATATTCCAAGTACTTATGTTGCGAAAAATTGAGTAAATATCACCGTTGGCGAACAATAGAACCTGCGTGAATCTCGCCGGCGACAGCGTAACGGCGCTTCGATAAATGCGCGGCCGGCAAAATGTTAAGTCGCGTTACGATTTTGTTTATTTTATTTTCATCGCTTATATTATATATTTAGCATAAAAATTCATTTTCATTATAATAACTTCTTGAAACATATTATTAAATGTCATATAAAAAACGTTTAACTTGCTATAGTTTTTATCAAACCAGCCTAAAGTAGTTTACACGTTGCTCGTCATGGTGTTCATACGTGACCGCAGACTATTTCTCCTGTATTATCACAGTTAATTATCAGTGACCGGAGTACAGTAGTAAATATTTATAATTGTAAAAATTGAATGAATATTGACAGTAAATGAATTTTGAACATCATCGCTAATTAGAATATATTCAGCAATAAAATGTGCACTATTCAACAATTAAAAATTTTTATTAGAAGATCAAAAATGAAAAATTAATTTTCATCAAATCATCAATCTTTCGGTTTCAATATAATCTGAGCAGTATATGGTAACCTTTTAGGTCTGAGTTTTAGCTGTCTTTGTTCCAAAACTTGCAAAATTTTTTTGGTAACATTGTAAAATTTTCGCACCAGGTATGCTAGTCTTTCCTTCTTTTACATTTCATGGTTTACTCTTCTTCGGATAGATATATTTGATGGCCTTAGTATTTCTCAATCATGGCACTGTGTTAGATGCATTTGATTCCCCTTGCTTTCTTTTTGATTTTTTCTCCACAATTACCAGGTATATTGCACAGACGATTAATACAATTTAAATATACTTCTGTTGAAGTGGTTGGCGGTAAATTTGTGATTTCTAACTTTTCCCTTGTGGTCGGTAAAAAGCTAAAATAAGTTTTCATAAAGATTAAATCTTGTGCAAGTTTTTTTTATTAGACTATATCTTTTGCAATCTTAATTACTGTAACATCTATTATATTAAAATGTTCAACTACTATTAACATAAAAAATAGAATAAATACGTATGTATATACAAAAAAGTTTTTCTTACCAAATGATTGCATATTACTTATATTTCTTATTTTATCAAAATGTTCGATATAAAATAGTGCAGTTTCAATTTACGTATTCCATCTAATTAAAATAGATTCTAATGGCAAAAGAATATTTTGTAATGTTTTTTTTACACTTCAATATGAAGTGATGCTTTCAAAAATACATTCTTCACAGATTTTTACCAATAGTTTTTAAATTTTAATATATTACGTCACGGATCATGTCTTGAATAAAAAAAAAACAAAGTTAAAAATCTTGTTTCTTTCGGTCCGTCTATTACAATCTAGTAACTTGCCTCGTTTTCGGTTAGCGCAAAACTCCTCTCGGGATTGAGACTGTTTTTATTCTCTCTGTAAGAATGATACTTTGAAGGACGCAACTATCTTACAATTCCTGTTCGAAGTTTCGATATTTCTCGAAATGCTTATCCTTTTATTGATGACGTCACTGATTAAGAATGTAGTTCACCTCCAAATTAACTCTTGAATGGAAAACGACAGTTCTCCACTTGTGTTTCTCCCTTGAAGTCTTTACTTTCTCCAGCAATCTATCAATAGATTGATATTAAAGCGAAGAGGAAGCAGATCAAAAGACTGAAATGATGCCTGTCAAATTGTCACATTTGTTTATCAGTAACAATTATTTAATATATTGGGACGTACGAAAAATTCGTGCCTCCCAAAAGTCAACACGAACTTCCTGGAAAACGCAATAATTAATAAAAGAAAAAGTACGATGTTCACTTCATTGGTTGATCAACAGATTTTTGTCTAAAAAAATAAGGGTTGGCGCAACCTTAGAAAATTTTCTTTATTATATATATATATATATATATATATATATATATATATATATATATATATACACATTCCGTTTTCTCCACATGTGGACGGAAAATAACTTTTAAAACCATTATTAACTTTACGTATATAAATATTATTTTTCATTTTATAAAAGCGACATTTCTGGTATTATTTTAATAAGATTTTGCTGAGATCAATTAGTCATAGTATTTTTTGTGAAATATTGTTAGATTTTGTCAGAAAATCTCAGAAAATAAAGAACATTTTTGTCAGATTTTCTTGTTTATTACCGAAAAGGCAAAAATCTATCGCAAACTCGTGAGAAAATTTGTTCTTAATATAGAGCTACAGAATGTTATAGATGATTCAACAACAATGGTTCTGAACACTCAGATGGTTTTGAATATTTAGAGAATTAAATGTTGATGGTAAAGAAATATTTTACAAAATACGATTGTATTAAGTGATCGCAACAAATTTTATTAAAATGACTTCTAACTGAAAGATAATATTTACGTGTGTGAAGTTGATAACGGTACAAAACTGATATTTCCTAAAATCCCAATTTGTAAATTTCGAGAGCGATTGTTACGACCCGCTCGTTACGGGCCTCAAAAAAAAATATTACAAACAAATTTTTCGAGGAGTCCCTACATACCGCGAGATTAGTATCTTTTTGGCCCTTACCTGCTATGTGGCTCGAGATTGGTATACAAACACACACAGAATGACTCGAGACACGACACTTGCGAAAAAAATGGATGCACTTACCTTGTTTCGTGATCGCCGTAAATTCCGCTTCGATCCTCAAATTCCTGGGTGTTCGCGGGTCATGAGGTGGTAAATGAACTATTGATACAGGCTTCCTGTTGAACGTAATCGAGATGAGACGGTAAGGCCCTTCGTTCTCCTTGCTCGCTTCCTTGCTGCCATAGATCCCGATGACATCGGTAAAGTACATATGGATATCATATAACTTCGCGAGAAGACGGTACAAAAGATAATTCCTATCGACACGACTCGTTCTCGGCATACGTGAGTATGTAGAAAGTATAACTTGGAGGTTTTCAGGCTGAATAGTAAGGAGGATTGTAGGAAGTTGTCTTCTGCTCGTGCGATTTGTACGCACCTCTGACGAAAGTATAACTTCGAGGTTTTGACAAAGAAGTAACCTCCGAGAAGTGAAAGGCAGAATGACCATTCTACACGGCTTATATACTCTATTGAACTGCGGTAGGCGGCTCGGGATGCCGACGCTGCCGAGAATGGTGGGACTGCCACCGTCGTGAACCATGGTGGGGATAGTGCCTTCGTGAGCATGGTGGGGAGCGCAGCATCTGTGTATGGTGGAAAGAGAATTTCCAGCCGTTCGGAGCATTCTATCCTGAGTCTGCTGATTCTCGCTCTTTTCCTCTTTCTCTTTCCCTCTGAGGAACACATTTGTGACACGCTGCTTTTCTACATCTGAAATACATCTGTGTCTCACTGCCTTTTCACTTTCTCTTTCTGTCCTTCCCATTGTATTAGTATTATATCTTTATAATAGTTTAGTTATAAGACTACGAGTGCTTAAGCGCTAAGGTATCTCTTTTACTTACTATCGTCTGTTTTATAAGAGAATTAATTTGTTTTATTTACGACTCCCCTTACGTCGGGCTCAAATATGTCATATAATGGTGTTAGTGATTGATGGAAATAAGTTTCTTAAAACTTGTATTGTCCTTTAGAATAATAAAGAGATTGTAATGTATGTAAAGGTGTATCCCCATTTTATATCTAATGCGTATAACATTGATATGATGACTCCTTATATGGTGGACACGAGGAAATAAAAATTATGCGTCTTTTGCTAAGTGTAAGAGTGGCATCGGGCATAACACTCTATAAACCAACAACTGACTGCCGTATCTAGAGGGCGTCAGCAGCTGTAAACTAATAAATGATTGCCGCGTATATGCGGTGTCAGCCTCCGTCAGCCGAAAAGTGACTATCGTATGTAGACGACGTCAGCTGCTGTGATGCACCAAGTGATTGCCGTATATAGACGTTACCCCTCGCGAAAGGGTTAAGATTATTTGTAAGTTCACCAGCGATGTTTATTGCACTTATCTTTGGATTTTGTTTTATTTTTCGAATTATGCATCGGTTAGTGTACTAATTTATTTTGATTTTACATTTGTTTCGTGGATTATCCATATCTATCAATGATTCTTGGAATCGTGAACTATGGTGGTCTACCTACCAATTTTAGAAATTTCTCTCAGAGTTTTGTACTTATTATATAAATATATAATAATTTCCTTGTATATAAATAAAGATTACACGTGCTTGTGAATGTATTTGATATTACTTATTATATAAATATCAACTTATAATAGGATATTTATATAATTACAATAAACAAAAGATATTTATTATATAAATTTCCTATGAGCTATATATATGAGCTATAAAATTTTCCGATATTGTAAACGGGTCAGTTCTTTCTCATTTTTGTTGTATTGTACATATTTATTGAGGATTTATACTTTCATGGTCCCATTCAGCAGAAAAACGGTTTGCGCCACCACCTCAAAAAGTAATAACTGAATGCATTTTGATCAGCTTGATCAACACCACTCATCGACTTTTGTGTAACTGATAACTACACTTGACTTTTCGATTACTTCTTCTATGTCTCCTATATACATCTTTTAGTGGTTATTATTCCAGCATTATGCAAATTGCTCAATAATGATACTATTCTCTTAATCCTGCTCTTATGAAATTTTGGTTTCTTCAGAATTGTCGGGACACCTTTTTTATTTGTTCTTACGGTACCGGTTAAGTGACACTTCATTCTTTTTAATTTTTCAGCTAAGCATACACTAGTATAATAACTGTGGATGTGAATGTGATATCCTTTTCGGTAGGTACTTTATCTAATAACTGTTGATACAGATGCAGGACAATTCTAATGTTAATCTGGCCTCGAAAGATTTTCGGAAGTGATACTTCCGTAATATGGAAGAATGCTATATACATATCTGAATCTGCTAAAACGTATATTCGAATGCTCCACTTGGTAGGTTTATTGGGATTATATGTAAAAATAAAACTTATTTTCTACTTAAATTTTACTACGAATTCATCAACGCAAATATTTTCTTCAGTTATGAAATGTTCGGCAAATTTCGTATTTATATATTCTAAAAAATTAGTTGCTCGTTGAATACGACTTCTAATATCATTTCTCGTAAAAATAGTTGTTTTTAAATGTAACATCCAAAATATTTGAACTAATGCTAAAATTCAATATATTAGTTGTATATTCAAAAAAAATTTATATTAAAACGTATTGTGCAAGTTGTATGATATATTTGTAGCTTTCATAATCTTTCACACTGTTATAGTAACTCATTCAATTGGACTAAATGAGGCTATCAAATTAAAAGTAATTAATGTTATTATTATCAAAACTATCAGCAAATAAAATGTTAGTTACACAGAAGATAAGGATCACAATCTTTTGCTAATATATAATAAATTTTACCAACGAAAAGAATTATTTATTAATAATAAATTTTGAGTATTTTCTGAATGTGCAGTTAACTGATTATGAGCATAAAAGATATTACAAAGCAAATAAGACATTAAAAAGTAGAAACTAGAATCCTTTGTTACATATAATTATTGAATAGCTTGCAGTGCAAGACACAAAGAAAAGAGATTAAAGATATTATTTGCCACAGTTAAAATATAAAAAAACTGTTTGTGTTATAATTTTAAAAAATATATAAGTATATAATTTAAAAAAAATTTTAAACAATTTGAAAAATCTTTTAAATGACATCGTTTCTCTAAATATTGGTGTTTTTGTAATGGCCCTCTTAAATCAATTCATTTGAATTGCTAGCTCTTTTTTCTGAACCATTGTTATACATAATGTAAAATAAATTTTTATTTCTTTACAATCTACAGAAAACCAAGTTTCGTCGGTTTTTCGTCTTTTATTTTTATTGTTTATTATTTGTTCTGCGTACCGATTCATCTCCGTTACAATATTTTCCCAGAACATATCAATTATTATATTAATAATGTCTAATTCTTTTTTATTTGCACCTAACTTCTGTAAAATTGGAAAATTAACAATGAGTCTGACCCGGCTAAGACAAAAAGACATCGGGAAAATCCGAGTCGGAACTGTGCTGTTCACGTTGGACCCAATTATGATACTGGCAAGTGTTTACGTTTAGCCGGAACGACTTATCACGGCTTTTACATGTTTGGTCCGATTTCCATACCACGAATTTCATACGATATTGTAGGCGAAGGGTTAATCTGGCCTGGACACGTACTAGACTATTGGCTATTATCTTCATTCTAAATGAAGAAATATTACATTTTAAGATCGGTCATTTGACCGATCGTGGTAGGAATAGGTATACATGAAGTGTCGGTAGGATTAATGATAAGTCATTGTAATGCTATTATTGCTAATGATATGGGGAAGATTATTTTATGTGAGAAAGTGCACGCCAAAAGTACATATTCAAATTAGATTTTTTGAAAAAAGACGAACACATTATATAGGAAGATTTTCAACCATCTCAAGTAAACAAACAGGTACAAAACATTATTTTGTTTACTATTGTACACTTTATATTTCCTTCTGTTACTATATAATTTATTATAATTAAACAGTAATCGAGGTTAGAACGTCTAGTTATTGTACAAAAAATACAACAACCGGTACAAATTTATGTCCAATTCAAAAGGCCATCAGACGGTATGACAAATGACCCATTATCATTTAAGAAATTGCCATTAGATACGGGTATGCTTGCTTTCTTGATTTATTGATCTTTCTGAAATTTCATTTCTTTGATTATAGTACATGTGATAAAATGTTAACAACCGAGACTACTATGTTTCCCAATACAGTACCAAAGGTGCCTTGTAATATCGATGAATATAATAATAATGATTTTGATATAAAAAAATAAATAACAAAATTTTCGCACTGAATAATTAGTATAATTTAAAAATATTACAAATTCTTGGAATGGAAACACTAACATTGATAAAAACAATGTAAAGAATGTAGAGAGTTTTATGAAAAATATTATTCATTACGAAAATAATGAAATTTCAATACAGTTTAATAACATGATGAAAGGAAATATGAAAATCAATAAATACATTACTGGTAATGATACCAGTAGAGAAAATAATATATTTTCCAACAATTATACAGAAATAGTTGATAATCAGTCAGAAATTATTTCTCAAGGAAAGTTACAATTAATATATAATATATAAATTTATAAAATATTTAAATAAAACTTTTAAATAAAATAATTAAAAAAAAACATGAGCAACTTTAAACATAAATCTGATTGTTTTGATTAAATGGAAGTAGGAAAATGGGTACTTTCAAAGAAAAAATGAAAAATACAACTGAGATTAAAAGCGAAATAGAAGACAGTAATAAATGATTAAACGATTTGATATTGCAAGTGGAAGAATTAGATCAAATTTACGCAGATACATATACAAAATTGTTACAAGCTGCCCTTGATCAAAATTTGGTTGAACGATTTATGGATATTGATATTTCTGATAATCAAATCTAAAAGTCTTTAAATGACTATGAAAAATCCAATAGAGTTATTTGATATACCTAATCAAAGAAAATACGAAAATGTATAAACTCCAAAACAGGATTTGTGTGTGTTAGTTTCTTTATCAATGGCAGCGAAAGAAGACATAACACAAAAATTAAAAAAAGGATTATTTCTCCTACCATGTAAACATTTACGTAAAATATCTTCGATGCTTGTTCTACCATGAGTTACACCCTCTCCAACTAATAATCAAATCTTCTTCTGAAGCTCCAAATTTTAAGTTCCAAGAATTTATCATCTCTTCCTGGTGCTTTACCTAAAGAATCAAGTCTTTTTTCTAAACTATTTAAGAAGAAAAAGAAAAAAACAAAGATATCACTTCCAGTATACCCACAGGCACTAATAATCGTTTGTTTAATGCACGCAAAAATGACTCGTTTCTGTGTAAAAGTATTCAAGATAATTCTGTAACACAAATGCATAGACGTAGTATCTCAAGTATAAATAGTATTAAATTTCTTACATTAGAAAGTAATGAAATACCATCTTATGGGCCTGATTTGACTGAAGTCAAGCACTATGTTCTTTATACTACTAGGGCAACACATACAAGAGCATCTGAATTCAATGAAATGTCTTTTTATAATAGTCCTATGAAGGGAGAAAAAATATTAACAGAAACAAAAAGATCTTAATCTTCGATAGAAAAATATTAATTGTCTATTTTATTTCTTTTTCTTTTTTTTTTCGAAGTGTACTGCCATTGAAAGTGTTATATACCTTCTTCCTTATATTATAATCGCATTAAAAATATTCAAACCATGGCAAAGATTATATTATATTATTGCGACATTATCG